TTGACCGACTTTTCTCCGTGGACAGATTTGGCTCAAATGTTGTCTCCTGGGGTAGTTTGACCTCCTGAATACGAATATCATCGCTTAGCCCGAAACTTCCTGGCGCCCGCGCCACAGGCGCCGGTGATTTGGGGTATTTTGGCGCCAGCGCCTGTAGCGCGGCCAGGAGGTTTCGGGCCGAGCGGATGTGATATTCGTGTTCAGGAGGTCAGACTACCCCTGGGAACAAGTTTTCAGCAAATTTGGTGATTTAGGGTATTTTGGCGCCGGCGCCTGTGGCGCGGGCGCCAGAGTTTCGTGCCGAGCGGATGTGATATTCATGTTCAGGAGGTCAAACTACCCCAGGGAACAAATTTTTAGCCAATTCTGCCAACGCAGAAAAAAGTCGGTCAAAAACTGGCCTGTTTTTGGAAGATTGGGCAGTAAAGGGTAAATAGTGCCGATGTTTTCTAGTGCCCTCACTATCACTTTCGAACTAGCAGAGCCGTCTATCTTTCACACACCCTGAAGAATCTCCTACTCGTTCCTTCGAGGGATGTGCCTTTAGGGGACGCGGGCTTACTAGGCACACTCAAGATGCAGAAGCTTACCTGCTCCCAACCGCCCCATCACACCAGTGGTAACTGGTTACTTGAATTCAAGGATGATTTGGCTTTCACCCGAACTCGCCCCTGGTACCAATCCAGGGTTTTGAAATGGGAAACAGTTCATGTGATAATTTCTCTTAATCCTTCGCATATTCAAAAATGCGCTTCTCTGATAGTGGACCATTCAAAGAGTATTGTGAGTATCCCTATCAGTGAGATACCCTATGTTTTCAGGTGCAAATGTGTTTGGCATGACGCTATCCATAGTGGGCGTGTTCTGCTATAATCGGGTGAGTTGTCAAACAGTTGGATAGTTGAGGCGGTTTCTTGAATTTCTTAAGAATGCACCGTAAGGGTGCGTCACACCAACTACTGTGCCTTCAACTTTGATGCACCCTTGATTATCAAGGCGGTATAGGGGTGCACCCCTATACCGCCTTGATAATCAAGGGTGCATCGGCGTGAGGCACAATAGTAGACCTAACTCCGTCACACGGATCAGCAAGAACCATGCTTTTATCGATCGTAGCAGCATGTTCTGTGGGAGTCAGGTGTGGTTACTGGGAGGTGCACGTATGGAATAACGGCCGGCATCTTCTGGTAGACTCAAAAGTAATATTAGTAAAAAGTAAAATAGTAACAGTAAAAGTAGTTGGTCATCTGCGAAACAAGTAAACATAAAACCACTTCAGGCGAAGCAAGAAGACAAAGTTTTGTCTCATTCTCTTCCACTGACGCGATCTCATACAGTATTGTCTGAATCGACTCTAGTGGAGTTGGATACCAGTCAAAACAGTGACATGATGTACTGGTAAGTTTATATTATGGGCTGGGCTAAAATGCAGTTCGCCAGTTGAACGCAACAGCAAAGCTCCGAAATGGCTTTCCCTTTTCCAAAAAACCGAATGGTGAACTGTGGCCTTGACTTCAACTTTTGGTATTCTCCTGTTGTACAGTGACAGTGCCCCGGAATCCTCGGCCTTGTGCGAATGCCTCCGCAAAAGCTTCAAAATTTGTGTGGGGTGCAAAGGTTATATATATAGTGTTGTAGAGCGAGGATGTAGGGAGGAAGGGCGCATCGAGACCCTTCTTTGGGGTAGGGGTCCTATTTACGCTGCCATTTCACACGTCACGGTGATATATCCTGACGGAAATCTGTCTGTAGTTAGCTCAACCGTGGCTGCTTCATGTTATGGTCACTTACTTCTCCACAGAAGCTAGGCAAAGCCCCATGGCCCGACGGCAGTTTAGTTACTGTCGCTCATCATTACGCAGACTGTGGGCGGTGTCAGCCAGTAGGAAGTGGCGGCACACTGGTTTGAAGCCGTTCTCAAGCGCTTTTTGTTGAAACGAAGTAATGTGACATAAAAAGTGGTAGAGAAGCGAGTAATACGAAGGATGTAATAGCAGTACATGCACTTTTGCCCGCTTCAACAATTGGTGCAGAACGACTTCGGTACCGCGCCAAACGCAGCCGCACTAACACGCCCCGACAGCCGTAATGATGAGGACTGTATAACTCGTGTTATGCAGTCTGTAAGCTCCTAACCAGTCTCGTTTAAGATGAGCCCATCGACAAGGGATCATCTCGGCGTAGTGGTCATGATCCGATTGCGAATGATAGGGCGCGTGAAGAGCAGGGCTCCCAGTGATATCACTATGGGGTCGTATTTGACCGCGAGGAAGGGGGGTGGTATTTGGTTTGAAAATTTTTTGATAAATGATTTCTCTTGTTTCACCGACGCTATAAAAAAGGGTGCTGGCGGATTTGGTCCGTTGTGGGAAAGCGGGGTGGGGTTGTCTTGGAGAGGGATTTGAGGCTTGGTAAAAATCTTTTCCCGGTTGTTGGCTTTTTGCGGTTTTTCCCGTTTGCCACTGTCAAAGATCTTTACAACTACTATTTCCCTTTGCTGTATGTAGTTATAATAGTGGTTAAATCCTGACGACCTTCTCCCACCCCCTCCCCGCTCAACAGCAAAATTTCGGAGAAAAATCATTAATTTTTCAGGAAAAACTGGAAAACGTGGTAGGAAATTGGGAAAATGTAGGAAAGTGTTAGGTAGGTTGGGGAGGGAGGGTGTCATATTTGAGGGTGGAATTAGGGAGGGTCGTATTTTTCGGGAATTCATCACAACGCGATGGCGTGCCCTGGTGAAGAGGCGTGAGTTGAGGCGCAGCCAGGGCCTTTTCTGAGAATTCTCGCAAACTCAGGATGGCATCATTGACGGGAAAAGCCGCCTTGGCAGCACTCCAGTCCTTCCCCCGTCACATACCCTCTCGCTTGCAGGCATCATAACTGTAAATACTTCTGATGACATGGAAGAAATTCTGTTCTTCTTTTATGCGTAACTTTCAGGGCCTCAAATAATCGCCCCGGCTATAACGGTAGCCGATTGGGTGATTTTGAGTATTCCGATGTTTATCAGGCTCGCTACGACAAGATGGACGACATCAGCAAGGAGCAGCAGCATAGTCGGCGGCATGTTCGGTTTTGGCATAGGGCTGTTTCCAGAAAGTGACGGCCTGCCACAAGTTACTGCTAGTGGGCAGACATTTGTTGATTTATTAAGGTTTTTACTACCAACCCAATTCTCCCATAGGAAGAACTTCATGATGCTGCTAGTTAGAACAGCCGCATTCAAGTGGCTAAGGTAGTTATAGAGAACTGTTTGGTAGACTGACTGGAAAAGACCGTGGCGCAGCGCAGTTGGTCGACAGGGGGGAAAAGAGGGGGGGGGGGGGGGGGCATTTTGCATTTTCGTTGCTTCACTAGTTCCGGTTTACAAGTCTCACTCTGGTGAAACCTGTGAACTCTTGTGAAGCTGGAGCAAGCTCGTCAAGCCATCATGGTAACCTGTCAAACTCGAGAGAAGCTGGACCGACACGTCGATGGGAAGTAGCGAAAGTGCAATAAAAACATGCCCCACCCGCCCCTTCCTCCCAGTCGAACGAAGAGCTCGCTGGCGTGGCCTTATCTCGTCTCTTACTGCTCCCAACTACCTTACCAGCATTATTTATTGTAGTAGTAGTTGTAGTTTGTGGTAAACAATTTGCAAACAAAAGTAACATTCCCATTTTCTCGATAAGCTTGATGGTTATAAACCTATTTTCACCTAAGTTTTATCCTGAACTGCTGTGATACGGATTTTCGATCTTCGTAGCTTCTTACATGAATCATATTCATATCCTATGATTTCTTATGCATTCGAGATACTATTAGACTACAGGCGGGTTATTTGTATTGTTTTACTTTTTATTTCCCATTTCTAATTGACAGTTGCTGTTCATGTTGTGCATATGGGCGGGGATAGTGGACATTATCCATCCTCATTGGCGCCTTTATAAGTTTTGTCTTGAAGGGAGGAGTGCGTCTGGGGCAGGCCAACTTGGCCATCCACGCCCATACGACCAACGTGGACTTTGTCTGGAATCGCAACTTGAACGTCACGTCAACTTCCTGTTCATTTTACCAGTCGAGTCGAGAGAGTTCTCATTGTACTAGTTCAAAGTTTGGCGAAGTTTCGAGCTGTGAAGGGGGGGGAGGGGGAGATGAAGCCCAGACCCACAATCGGGCAAAATTCTCTAACTAAGTGAGTTTCTGGTGGGGGCAATTCTTCGTAAGCTGTAGCTGGGAACAGGAGAATGAAGGGCGGTTCTCCTTTTTTGTTTCGAACATTCGTTCCAAGATAGTCGTATGGGTGGAGTCGAGGAACCACCCCGCTGTGGGCATCTCACGGGTGAGCTTTTCTGAGGGAGTGAAGAGGAGATGCGCACCAGGGGAAGGGTGGTGCTCCATTCCCGCCCACATGGTCAACGTAGAATGTTCCATCAGGCTTCAAATTCAATTTACTCAGATTTTTATCTGTAGATGAATTATCCGCAAGACTCTGAATTCCTCCTCATTAGTGTTTTCCAAGACTAGCGCATGTGGGCAGTAACAGTCGTAATCGGTATAATCCACAGTTTACAATTCCTTCCGCACTCCCAATTCCCGAAGGGAGCCAGATACGAAAGGTCGCATTCCTGTTTCTAGAAGCGCCTTACACCCAGGTCGTGTGGGCGGAGTCAGCTGAACGACTGCACCTTCACGAGCACGACTACGCCCTCTTTTTTCCTGATCAGCCCACCCCTCTATGAAGGCTAAGGGAACAGGTGCATCAATGAGGAGTGCCCTAAGGTTCAAGACCTCCACCCTTGCTATCAGCGTGGAGTAAGCCTTTATTGACGTTCATGGGTTTCCTCGTCCCGTTCCGAGTTTCGCTCCCTTCCGACTTCCGGCACGATTTACCGCCTCGACTTCCGATTTCATAATCAGCTAAGGCTACGATTTTTTTTATGATAGTGAGTGGCTCGACTGGTGAAATGCTTCTTAGGCTATGACCTTATTCCGTGTCGTTATCGTTTTATACGAGTTGTTAATATTCACTTAATATTTCCATACTCTACTGAGCGATGATGTGATGAAGTGAAACATGTGATAGAAATTGTTTTTCATTACGCATAATGGCGAGGTTTCTCAAATGATTTCTATAGATTTCTCGAATAATACTTAAAGATAAATAAAGTTACCAATTATTTGTTTATTGTGTCAGAGGTATGCGGCTGTTTAATTGAAGTATCGTTTAACGGAAATGTAGTGAACACAGTCGCAATCCGGCGGGGCGGTGCCAGGAGGCATAGATCGAGCCCACCCGCGGCGTTTTCTGCCACGGGTTGTTCTCTTCCTGAACAGGCCACTATTGGCAGAAAACCCAGCGGCAGACGGGCTCGTTCCGCTCCTCTTGGTACCGCCCCGCCGAATTGCGATGATATGAACTATATGAAGAACGAAAGTATGCAGTCGGTAGTCCGGTAGTCCTTAGGTACACATGCATCATACCATTGATGTCTGGTATTCCGGTCTACTGATCGACCACTGATTGATCAGATTTGGCTCAGATACTTGCGGCACTTATTTCCTTCTCATTTCAATAGGATATCAATTATTAGGTGAGATTTCATTCATACAGAGTAAGCTACTTCTTCGCTGAATGTTTTACTGGTGTAGGGAATGTCAAATTCCCTGTGTGGCTTCCCTACGGCTGTGTATGTTGAGGAAAGGAATCGCGCTAAATCCGTTCAGGAAAGGCAGTAGGACGCAGGATAAAAGACCGCAACCGTGGTCCCTTTCCTTTTGGTGAGACCTTCCTTCAGAAGCGGCAATGTAGCTAGCCGCGTTAACGAGAAACACACAATCATCCTCTGTCTCTACCCGTGGAGCATCAGGCGGCGAATTGTGGTCGTTTTTAAAAATAATTTTGAATTTATTGGAGGGCATCATCTAGTATACTCGAAATCCCTGAGATCGGGTAGGCGTGGCTCCATGCTCCGACTTAACCTGAAGGAGCCCATGCTTCTGGTGAGATATTTTCATCCTTGACACAATTGTTGTCGTGTCTCTGCAACATTAGGAACAAGATACTTGTCCCAGACTGAATATCCACGAGTTAGCCAGTTCCCCGTGCAATGTTCAAATGGACACGCCTCCTCTTGCATCAAAGGCTTAGGAGTGTAAAATTAAAGACGAAAAGGATGTATTTAAAGGAGAAACGTACCCTAACCTCTATGGTTTCCTGACCCTTTCCATATGTGAGGAGAATGGGTCTACAGCTGCAGTAGCTTGCCACTTTGCACGGGAACGGGGCAGGAAAGTAGTGATGCCCGGGTGCCGTCTCCTCACTCCGCCTGGGCTGCCGCATGACACGCCCAGCCATAGCCAAACACGCTACTTGCCTAACTTCTGCTTGTTCTCTATTGCTGAGTGCGTGTTCCGCTGCAGGATCTTGGTGTCGACGCAAGTGCTGCCCATTCAGAATAACTCCGCAGCATGGAGACGGCACTCTGGTGGCACTACGCTCACGCCCCGTTACTAAGCACTTTTGAGCGGAGAAAATGGCATACTACTGTAGCTGTAGACTCATTCGCACATGGAGAGGACCGTCATCGCAGGTGGGTGTACAGATTGTCCTCAAAGCTCATGAATGAACAAACTCCATTTCAACGGCTTGTGGCGAATCGTCCATGCTTTTGGAGCTCCCCTGACCGAACGCGGTTGCTTCTTGCCTGATAGGAGACCAGGATAGTGCATAGTCGTTTTCTTCCACGACCACAATGCGATGATATTCCAACGGACGTCGTCGACTGTTTGCACATCGTGAATAGAGGGATGTTTTGGTTGAATTCTCGATGTTCTATCACTGATTCATCGATGACAACGTCGTCTCGGTGACGGTCTTCAGCAAACATCTCTTGACAACGGTTCCCGTCCAGCGTTGGCCTATTACGACATCTTGTCCCTCCCTAGTGGTCACTTTGCTGTGAATTTTTCAATTCTATTGCATAAAAACACACTTTCTCCCATCTGCTTCAAATCATCCGAAAGCTGAAAATAAATTGGAAATGAATAATATAAATTGTGGATCCTATTGTCTTCTCTTTTCGTTATAAATAAAATGATTAACACATTAGACACCAGGTGGAGGTGAGCAGTATTGAGAACACTGGAAAGGGGGGCGCGTCGGCTCTCAGGTAAAAGCTGGAGCTCAGACAAGGCTTTCGAAAAACAACACATCATTGCACGAGTAGGGAACAAAGTCCTACCATACCACCTTTGAAATTCCGATGACTGCGGGTCTTTTGAAATGGGTTTTCAATTCATGTTATTGTAGAAACGTATGAACTGTCACTGCTGCTACTGCTACCACTTCTCATGCAAATTTTCAATACACGATTCACTAATGCGAATTAATCGCAG